GGAAAGAAAGTGGCACCGAAGAGTCGCAGAGGAAATGTTTTGTGTTTGTTTTTTTTGACTAAAAGTTCAACCGCATTCATTTCATTCAGGTACGAAAGCAAAGTTGTTCGTTTTTAATGTCCTTTAAAAAAAAAAGTTAATCTAATTCAACCCGCTAAGTTCATCCTTGTTTTCACATGTCTTACGAGGTTAGTGAGGTTATTTTGATAAAGATACATTTTTACAACTTGAAAGGCACGTGTATTAAGTGCATAACCAACTAGTGTGTTAAAGCAATCATGTTTTACTTGTATTTTTTCGTCCTTTGTAAATCCTGCTTGCACGCGGTGGAGGTCACGTGGTAGCTGAAGTGCGTGATCTACGCGCCTGCTTGCATTGCTTGATTCAGACAGATAAAACTTAGGATAATTAAGGAGCAAACAGGATCGTTTATCGTTTAAAAAAAAAAATCTGCTTGTCTTTCAGGTGATCTGATGCAATTGTGTTCCTGCGAGGCACTGGGGGTTTACGTACATGTACGTATTGAAACGTGGATACTTTTTTCAGTCACGTGCAGTCATCTCCAAAGTTGGTCCTCGAGGGCCGCCATCCTGCAGGTTTTAGAGGTTTAATTTCTCCAGCACAGCTAAATTATCATTGAAAGCTGGTTAACAGGCTTTTGCTCAACTGCAATCATCATAATCAGCTTTGCTAAAGCAGAGAATCTCCAAAACCTGCAGGACACTGTGAGGATGCCTGGCCATGTGCATTGCTGTCCCAATGATTATATCAATCACTACCCATCTGATCCATTCATGTTTATGTTTGGGAAAGATTACTGATAACGACTGAAATGAGGGTGCCTGTCTGCATGTCTCACAGTAACTGTTTTAATGTGATATATTTATTGACATGTTGTTATTGTCTTTTCAGAATTGGCCTTGGTCGCACAGCTGAACCGCATTGATACAACTACCACCTACCAAAAACTGACCACCAGTCTTTGTTTTCTGTTTAATTAACAAAAATAAAAATGAGTTCATAAAATACACTCTATTGTCTGGAGTATTTTCTCACACATCCACATCTTGGAATTTGGAAGGTTCTTAATAATTTCTACAGAGAACTTCTAAAAGTCAGAGTAATGCAAGTTGCTTAAATAAGATAAAATAGGAAACTCATGAAAAATCAACACTGAGCTGATCATTAAAAATGCTTAGAAATCTGCAGTTTACCAGAGATGAAGGCTGAGGAAAGATTTTTATTTTGGTGAGAACTAGACTAGAAAAGCTTGAGGGTTTCCTGGGGTCATTAATTTTTTTTTAATTGAGGCCTGAATTGGCATTAAAATTCATTAAATGCGACTATTGTGGCATTTAAAATGGTTTATTTAAAAACAATTTCATTATATCGTAATATATATGCTTCGGGCTGATCGAGGAATTCAAGACATGGCTGCAGCCTGTCGACGGGAAAGACGAGGAATTTAGCTGTGTTATGAGAGCCATGGATACCTGATGGCATTAAAATTGTTTCTTAGAGCATTAAATTAGAGTTACTCATTCCTGTATAACACTTAAATCTTAAGGTGTTTGAACTAAGATAAATAATTTTGATTACAGTATTTAAATTTTAGTTTAATTCAGTTTGTCTTAACTGAGTGACAGGATTTTAAGTAAATGTAAAGAATTATTTTGTCAACACAAAAAAAATACTGCAAATTAGAACAATGCTGAAGAAATGAAAAAGTACATGTTGCTTTTACACCTATAAATTATTTTCACACTTCAACTAGTGTGGTTTTTAAAATATTTAATTCATGTTTGAATCCACAGGGAAACAACATTGACACATTTTTTTGTTGTAGGAAAAAAAATATATATATATATATACAGTGTCCTGTCTGGCAATGTGGCAATAAGACTAATTGTCTTGATGCCAAAAAGAGCCCAACAGATTTTACTTTCACAAGTGGAGCCACTTGTTTCATGCATATAAATTGCTTTATTATCATTATGCAGGGAGTTTTACAGTTTATATGGACACTGCAATGTAAATAGAGCAGAAAAACAGAAGAAGAAAAAGGAAAAAAGAAAATATGAAAGAAAGAGGAGATAGAAAGGAGACAATGACAAAACATTTTCAGTCTGCTTCATCACCTGCAACATATTAAGTCAAAAATAATTTTTAACTTAATATTCCAAGTCTCAGGGACTGGTTATAACTGAAAAAGTAGTCAAGTTGTCACTTTTGGTACGCTTTGATTAAATGTGAGATTGCACTTTGTTTCATTTTTGTTCTGTTTTGATTTCAAAAGCTCAAAGAAGGTGATATTGTTTTATAGAACTCGGGAATCTTACATTTGATGGTTTTTAATGTATTAACTGTTGCCTAACTGATATTCTGTTGTATTCATTTGTTCCACTTGTGTGACGTGAATGTAGCTACTCGAGGCGAAAAGAAATGGCTAGGATGTCAGGTTCTATTAAAAAGTCTGGGACAAATGTTCTGCCGATTAGCCTAATGTATGTGTTCCTTTATAAATAAAAAGGCTCAGATTAAGGACATTAACTAATCAAACATATAGAACGATCAAATGTGCCTACGTTTTGTTTGTTTTTTTAGGAATCTTTGCTTCTCATTTCCTAACATGAATATCGGTGTAAGTGTAATCAAAGTAACAGTCTGCTATTAAAATGTGAACACTGTCACATAAAGTATATTTTATTTATTATATAATAATATCTTATAATTTTAATGTAAGAAAGAAAAAGTATATTTCAATCATATACAAAGCAGCTCATTTCTGGGGACTAAACGAGCTTTTAAAATGATCGTAGCTTGCTAGCAATGGGGGACGGTAAATCACGGTGCACCCGGAAGTTGATGTTCTTCTTCGTGGGAGGAGGCTGTTGCTTAGTGCCACGTTGATGGAGACCAGTGGGGACGTGGAAATCTGTCCTGAGAGTCCGCAGCCGGGACCCGGTAGCCCGTTCCTCTGTTTGCACAGCCGTTAGAATCGAAACGGGAACCTCTTCAGCTGGGAGGTTGTGCGTTTGTGTCTTTGTTTTAGTGTTGCGTTCATGTGAGGAGCGGCCAAGAAGAGAAGGTAAGCCGCTTTAGAGAAGTAATAAGATCTCGGTGTGTTTGTGTGTGTAGGTCGATTACAGCTGTGCATTGGATAGGTTGCAGGGACTCTACTAACTTAACACAACATGTAAGCTACCAAAAAACAGCTAACACCGTCCTGGGGAGCTTGTGTTTAAATATTAACATCTGAACTCTTGTTTTAGCCGGAGTAACTGTCGAAGCTTTTTATCCTCCAATCAGCTGTTAGCTTTCTGCTAGCTTAGGGGTTTAATAGATAAATCAAATCAGACTTTGCACTGGAGAGAAATCCAATTCATTCTTTCAAGTCTCACATTAATTATGGGAGCTAAATGAGAACAAGGTCTGTTTCTGTTATTCAGCAACGTAACTACTACAAAACTGAACTATAACAACATGCTGTAATAAAGGTGTAGTTACATGTTAATATAGTTTTCCCTTTCAGCTGGTGCCATTCTAGGTGAATATCTCTAGGAAATAAATAGAAGCTGCTGGGATTTCTGCACCTTTTTAGGAAAGGGATTTGATTGAGTTGTATCTGGAAGGAGATCAGTAAAGCAGATCAATGCAAACTACTATATATATATATATATATATATATATATATATATATATATATATATTACAATCAAACTTTGTTCAGGCATTTATTTTATAACAGAGGGTTTTTAATTTGTGCAATTTTGTATTTGATTTTTTTGTTAGTTTGACTTCATCTACCAAAAAAAAATAAAAATAAAAAATGCCTGAGAAAAGAAATTGTAAGAAAATAAAGGAAATTAGGAAAGAAAGGAAAAAAACATCTCAGAAAAAAACTCCTGTAGAGAATTTCACATCTAGAACAAAAAAAAAAACAATCAGTTGTGAAAATTCAACAGCAGATATTGACCTACAAAAATGCATGCATGTGAATTTTGGCATTTCAGTTTTTGTAGTTGAATTTTTAGTCATCATTTTTGCAAGTGAATGTAAAGTAAGGTTGTTGTTTTGGTTAAGAAACCCACTTGGGAGATAAATAGCGTTCAAATCCATTTAATTTTAACTTAATGTTATGATTCTGGCCTGTCTGTCCGCTCTGCTCTCCCTGTGAACAATCAACTCCAGCTCTTGCCTACTGCAGTGCAATCTGCAGCATGTCTCTCAGCTGTGTTTAAGCAGTTATAAGGCAGCCTGTGGCAGGAAGACACGGCCAGATAATTGCAAGCCAACATCAAGCAGTATCCGGCCCTTCACGTTACCTGACCAAGCTCTTGCTTCACAGATTTTCCCTCTTTTCTAACCCTCATCAGATTTCTCTGCCTTCTGGACAATTACCCTGTTTCTGCCCCTTGTCTTCTGCCTCCTGTCAAACCCCCTGATCATTAAGCCTGACCTTGATCCTGCCTCTGTGCTCCAAGTCACCCAACAGCTGTTTAAAGGAGCAGTCTGCTCTATTCAAGCTGCTGATCCCCGCTGAAAGGAGGACTCTAAGTAATCCCTGGTCCTCGGCGGATGTGCTCCTGAAATCCTGAGTTTTGAATAAACTGTTTAAGTTCTAATCTTTGTTCTGGCTGCAAATTTGGGTCTTCTGTCTGGATCATTACATTTAATACTTGTGTGATGCTTCTGTGGTGCAGCACCTAGTCTCAGTTTCCTCAGGATGTGCCTGATTTAGCACCGTTTTGGAATTTAAAGCAAAATCCACAAATACTATAGTGAAAAAGTAAAAGGGACGTTTAAACCTTCTCAAGGTTCTACGCACGTTTTTCAAGGTGATACGCAGGGATAGAAATCTGATGCAAAACAATTCAGGCAGAAGATGTTTGGTCTGTGGCAAAGAAATGATCTGACACAGAGGCTCTATATTAAGAAAGGATGGTGAAAGTGCTGTTTGAGCATTTTACCATGTATCATTGTGTATTTTACCGGAAATAACCACAATATGATATATTACGGTTAATTTCAGTAAAAGTTATCAGATGTGAAGTTATAAGTGAACTTCACATCTGGTGTTTTGTTTCTTTTATTTTGTAATAAGCTGCCGGATTTCTAAACAGCTCATTGTATGGACTGCTCTGTTTTCTCTGCAGGATGAAACTTAAGGAGATCAACCGTACAGCCATCCAGAGCTGGAGTCCTGCTCAGCATCACCCTATCTACCTAGCAACAGGTTAGAGTCTCAACCTTTGAGCCGCTGCAGCAGCTGTTGTTATTCAGCGTTCTGTCTGGATGTAAAACCTGATCACTGGAGTGATCTAGCTATTTACAGGGATTTCTAAATCCGGAGTCTTGGATGCTTAAGTGTTGCTGAAAATGATCTGTGTAAAGATTTTACCTTTATGTATTTAATGCTACATGGAAAGGAAAGAGTTGAGACGAAACGATTAGTTTTGGTTTTTGGCAATTTGTTTAAATCAGTTTTTAGGGTTGTCAAAAGTATAAAGAGATACTCTAAAAAGCATTGATGCTCAAGTGCTAATCTGGCAAGGCAACAATACTAGTTAGTGTTGTTTGTAAATCTTTGCTTTTTGCATTCATTTTAGATGAATCTAATTTAGGTTTTAAACAATTCATTGGATCATCTTGATTAATCGATTATTGAAATAACCGTCAACAAATTTAGCAATCGGTTAATTGTTAACTGGAGTATAGAGACTCTCAACATGCCATAAGCTGATAGAGAAACCCACTTAGAGCAGTAATCATACCAAAATTGTAAAAACTTATTAATATTTTGCATTTAAGATAAAAAAATAGTCTGTGAATATGCTCTTTTGAGAACTCATGTGGAAAACTTTAGACTCGACAAAATACTCGACAGATTAATTAATTAGCAAAATAGGGATGTGAGTTGCAGCACTAATTGAATTTCTCCTCGATTATTTACACATCAATAGAACGATACATCATACAATGTAAAAATATTTTCAAATTTTATTATATTTAGTTTATTTATTTTGCATTTTTCCATACATTTATTTAACTAATAGAATCTGTGGTTGTGCTGAGAAAGCATGAACCATGTCAAGATTTAATCAAGGGAGTTTTTTTATGTTTTTATGCCTACTCATAAAAATATTGGATCTTATGAAAATAAAAACGACAAACTATTAAAAGTTTGCCGTTTTTTATTTCTATGAGATCCAATATCTTTATGAGTACGGACATCGAGTTTGAAATTGTAGTATCGTGGCAACCCTGCTAGTTTTCAAGAAACCTACATGTTTAAAGACTGTTCTGTTTCTGCAGGAACATCGGCTCAACAACTGGACGCCTCCTTCAGTACCAATGCCTCCTTAGAGTTCTTTGAGTTGGACTTGGCTGATCCGTCTCTGGACATGAAGTCCTGTGGCAGCCTCTCCTCCGCTCACAGGTTGAGAAGATTCCCCATCACTGTTGCCCACTTCGTTTTTTATGTTGCCAACTCTCTCTTACACAGTCACGCCTTCTTGCCCCTCCCCATCTTTCCACAGATATCATAAACTGGTGTGGGGTCCGTTCGGCATGGACGCCCAGGGCTACCCATCTGGTGTCTTGGTTGCCGGCGGGGAGAACGGGGACGTCATTCTCTACGACTCTGCCAAGATCATGGCTGGAGAGAGCGACGTCATCATAGCTCAGAGCGACAGACACACGGGGCCGGTCAGGGCCCTCGACGTCAACCACTTCCAAGTGAGAGCCTTTCCCACCGGCTCTGTTAAAGGAATAGTCCACCCAAAACATGATTAGCCTTCATTTTCTACTCACCCCCATGCTGAACAACACTCTGGAGTACTTTTTTGATATC